TCCTCAAAACAACTTTGCAATACACAGAATTTCCACAGCCACTTTAAGTTAAACACACGATATAATTTACAATGATTTACCCACTTTACTTACGGTTTGACTCGATTATATCCGTTATGAATTTATCTTCCGGTTTATATACTAAAATAGAGGGCGTCTAGCAAACGCTGGGACGTTCGTGAGGTTCCTCGATCCTTCTAAAATCTCATCACGTGTTACCAGGGTCACGTGATTTCCGCTGTCGTAACACAATGTTATACCAAATGCACGCACACAAAATTATTGAAAGTTTTAGAATATTACGAAAATGTTAATACTGCGTTATCATTTATGTTTGCGTTCATGGATTTTAGAGAAATGTGATCAATACTGTGAACTTAATTCACCAATGTAGTTTTAAGTGTTAATCGTTAATTAAAATGATAGCTCCCAGGGTCAGGACTCAGTTTCCATCACCCAAAACTGAACAATTTTACACAGTTTATTTTTAAATTTTAATAGAGAACGGGGCCATTGTTTTTGACATTTATGATCTGGACATACCTTCTTCTTCAGTTTTTACTTCCACGGCCTCACTTGGGTTACTGAAACCAAGGCCATTTCTTGCGATTACTCTCATATTGTAAACACTGGCAGGCTTAAGGCCAGAAATCAAAGCATCCGTCTCTGTGCCCGATATTGTAACATTGGAAGTTCCTTTCTGCCATTTCGCTAAAAAACATGGGAAAAGTATTTTACATCTGATAAAAAAAAGCAGTTTATGGTAATAACAATTCGGACATAATAATTTAATTACTTTATCTACTTAACGTTGATCTTCGCCACATAAACAGTCAATCTATTTATTTGCTTATAATTTACATTATATCTGTCTATCAGGTCAGTTAGTCTTGAAACGTTCACTCATTCGACCAACAAACTATTTTCATCTTACCAGATTGCTGTTTGAACTGAACCAAGTATTTCGTGATAACACTGTTGCCGCTGTACGGCGCTGACCAACGGAGTGTAACAGTGCGGCTGGATTGTTCAATTATATGCACATTTTGAGGGGTGTCTGGAGGCTCTAAAATGGACAATAAATATAGTGGAACAAATAATAAATCACGCCAGTCAAACTTCGACACCATACCTTTTAATACTGTTAAGTAATAAAGAAAAATATATAAATAGTACCAAATGATTGGCTTCAGTAACCACAGTTATCTCTATGTAAATGAACTTTTAACATTCTTATATGACTTATCATAAGAATATATCGAAATTCAAGACACATAGTGTATACCCAGAAAAAATCTTAAACTTAGTTTATATGTTAGTTATATATGTTATTAAATATTATCTAACAGTGCTTCAATAAAATTAAAGGAATGTTATTTGACTTATGTTTAATACTTTGCTGTTATAAAAGTTTTAAAATACATATGTTCAAAAACAGTTCGCATTACCTTGTACTATCAGCTGTATATTAGTGTCATCTTGTCCATACGTGTTGGAAGCGATACAGGTAAAAAGGGCCGAGTCTTGTTTGTCAGCTTGGCGGATAAGTAGCTCAGATGTAACACCAGGGGGCAACACTGTCTCTATTAATGTGTATCTAACGAGAGAAAAAAATTAAATGTCAAACAATTAAAGGGAAAAAACTTTAATTTTTTAGCCCTAGAAACACAAAGCAAAGTAACAAATATTTAAAGCATAAAAAAGTAATACTGTCATACGATATTCACAAGAATAAAAAAGCTATTTTAGAGTTTGATTTTTGTTCAAGTAAATCAAGTTTTTCAATATGAAAAGTTTTCTTGTTGGCAGGCCGGGCGTGATCTAGTATTTAGCATGTAAAGACTGTGCATCTAAGGATTCATGGTTCACGACCTTTTGTCTCATAAACGCTCTCCGCATTTTACGACAGTGGGAGGGCCATAAAAGTGAAGGTTAAATCCCAATGTTTCATCAGACAAAAGTAACCAAAGATATTGCGCATATACCCTAGTGTACTTTTGCGCGAAATTCTGAAATAAATAAACTAACAACTGAAACGAAAAGGGTTAAAACTACATAAGTTAATGCCACCCACTGGCTCAGCGCTAAGTCTGAAGGCGTATAACGCTAAAACCCGAGTTCCGATGGCCATAATGAACACAGCACAGATAGCCCATTGTGTAGCTTTGCGCTTAACTACAAAAGAACAAAAAAAAACATAAAGTAACGAAAAATATTTGTTAGAGACGTGTTTTTTTGTTTTGTTTTTTTGCCTTGGGATTCTGAGTAAAGCAACTGTAACAACCAGTTCATATGCATTTTATAAAATGAGAAAAAGGAATATAGCAATGGAAATCATCAGTATACCAAATACTGATATATAGTAAATATAATCAAGCAATTCAATACGGAAACAAAACCAAAACCAAACACGAAAGCCTTGTTGAAACTGATAGCTACCGTGTTTCAGGAAACCAGATTATCCATCCATAAAATATATTTAAACATAAAGACTTATAAAATGTTGTATGAATTATTATAAACTGTATGATATTCGTATGGATTTTATGGGACCCCATCCAATCTATTACTTAATGAGATGGAGAAAGAGATCCGTTCTTACTAACTGAACCCATTATCAGCAGATGATTGTAGTGATGAATGCGATCTCGAGGTTCATCACAATAATGCATGCTCAATCGAATGGAGATCTGGCTATTATTATAGCTCTTTGATTGTTATTGTTTTGGAAGCGTTCTTGTGAGGTAGACAAGATCGGCAACATCGTTCACACACACTTTGGACGTTTATAACGTACCTGAAATAATCCAAGAAGACACGAGAACGTTCCCCACAAACAGAGTCAAGTACTACATGTGATTTTATTCATTTGGTTTACACTACTATTATTATTACTACATCGTATACTTTCAAATCACTTATTATTATTCGGAGTTAACTCTGTAATTCTGTGTTTCCATTTTTGAATCTGAGATAAATTGTTTTTCTTAAAACGTGGTCGACTGCTGAATGGTACAGTTGGAGATAGTCGAATCCTGACTATTCTTGGAAGAATTAGTTGAGACACAATCTGACATCTGTTACACAGGTTCCGATGAGAGAATCGCCATTAAAAATATGTATCTACTATCATACCCTTTGAAAGTCGGAAAGATCTTTGCTCTTACCTGTTGTATTTCAGACTAATCATGATATGACTACATATCGGTATTTACAGGGCTCAAGCAAACATGTGAACATGTGATGCATCACGATCAGTCTGTTTAACATATGCAAATAAAGAGTGTTACAAATATATCTGTGGGTCTTAACAAAAAGAATAATCTAAGGCACTACCTCCCACCACGCTCTTCCTGTCCTATAACAAAATACTATTATTAATAATAATAAAATACTTGTTCTTTATTTAGCCTAAGTCAAAGATAAAGTTGCAAGGTTTTTTAATTTGGTACATTGGCACAACACTTTGTAAGGTACTTTGCAAGAAAGTGTCAATAAATTATCTATCACAGTGAGGAAAAACTTTGCATAAAAACTGAAAAAAGGTTTGCTATTTCAGAAAAACATCCGCAAAAAATAATCACTCCCCTCTTCCACTAAAACTAAGTATCTGCTTCAATCTGTCTTTCAGCGTTTAATATAAAAGTGAAAGTCTGTACTGACCTGGGGTCACCTTGCAGATTGATGTTTTGTTTAGCTTTTAGCCAGATGATTGTTATGGGTTGATCCCCTCGTGCGTGACATTTTAATTTTATATTGTGGCCTTTTTCAACCTTTTCAGCCATAAACTTTGTCTTGAAGTGAGCTGCAACTGTGAAAAAAAAAAATAGATTCTGTTTTATGAATGTAGTTATATATTAACTTTTACCGTGTTTTTTAATACAAATGACTTTGTAAACTGTGCATGGAATATTTTATCAATTAATCTATCTTTTATTTATATCGTTCTGTGTAGACAGGTGAACAACAAGAGCTTAATCATAAAAAACTACCTGAGTAAATAACATTTCTGTTATACCACAATTGTTTATCTGACCAATTAAGTTAATGATTTGAAATTGTGGCTATTTTTTATTTATTTTTTTGTTAAAATCAAGCTCTTTTTGTTTGTTAAAAATGTTCTATATCCATTTGGTTTTATTACTGATAACAGTAATGGAATACTGTCGTTTCTTTCGTACCCTTGGGAAATTTCGAAACTCTGTGACACCGAACATACCTTTATGTGAATAATTTAATCTTATCGATTTTAGCTAGTTTTGTTATTCTTTTAAGTATAAAAACAGAATTTATTCAAATGATAACCAACTCTAAATTTAAGGCGTTACTTTGAAAACTGAAACAAGAAACGTCCCTGTTTATATTAAACGCTTATTTTAGTTCTCGATTGGTTCTTGAGTTAAATAATAACAATTTACAAATTATTTCAGGCACTTACAGGCTCTTAGCACTTAATGTTCTAAGTCCTCTCATGTTTGTTTTAACATAAAGATCGAGTATGTTACATTGAAACCATTTTGAAATCTTATCACGCCGTAACAGTCCATGATGCCTCATCTAGTCATTCTATATTCAATGACCACATATATTGACAATAGACCTGTAGCGTGGTTTCCTTTGCAAGAAGCTCAGCGGCCAAGTTGTCATGTCTAAAGCATACCACTCCTCCCTGCAGGCCTTCCATAAGCCACCTAGAGTACGAAGATGACGGTTTCCTAGCGCTAATTTCAACAAACCATCACAACAATCCATAAGCGCTGCGTTCAACGATTTGACTGTTATGTATTCTTATTGAATACCTGAATACCCGTTATATTTTTAAGTTACTTGAAGTATGAAATGGTTGAATGAATATTTCATGAAGCGATTTGTGTACACGTGACTTGTGTCGCTTTTTTATACAGAGATCCTTCTTGATTATGTTGCGTACAATTGCCTATGACACGTGAATGGCTTTGCCACTGACTTTGTGTACGTGGATTCTCAGTTGTTATCAGACGTCACATTTTGCTTATCATGGTTCGGGTACAACTTGTTGCATGTCTCTTTCTGGATGGTCCATCCTGGTTCCTCAAGTTAATCCATATTTCTTTGTTTTCCAACGCCATTAAAAGGAAATCTCCGTTTTGGAAATTCTATACCCCCAATTTCAAGACATCACTGTGATACAAGTGTATAAATATTTTGCAAGTGGAAGAACTGTTACATGTTTTCAATTTTCGGTAGCATAACACTACCTTGGAAACAATAAACAATATGAAAATGTAGCTGGGATACATGCCGTTTCATCGCGACTTTTTAATGGCTGTGGTTGTCCCAAGACTTTTTTATTTCCATATTCAAATCGTTTTAAATGTAATGTACTCAACCCTTTATATAACTACATTACATTTAAAACGATTTATTAACTCAACCCTTTATACTTAATAAAAATCTTCAAACAAAATAGTATTTTCATTTCATCGACAGTGGTATCGTTTTTTAAGGTATAATTTAAAAACTCGATCATTATGTCTTTTAAGTTTTTAAAATGGTAACGAATCTCTAAGTGTTGGAGGATCACAGGTTGAGAAGCGTAGCTTTACAGGATCTGACATTCATACACACATATATATACAAATTTTAAATTCAAGTTACCATTATATATGTTTTGAACAATAGTAACTAAAGGTCAAGAGATACAATGTTGTTAAATGGTCCAACAAACCTTTTTTGCTTTATTAGGCTATCCGACGTCCTTACCTGGGTTTAAGACGTAACAAATGATACTTTTAAATATAAAAACAGCTAACATCTTAGTAGGCAATAATGTATTAAATGTGTTCAAGATTAACAAGGAAACAGCAGTATGGGAATTCTACTTAAAGACTCCGACACTTAAAAAAAAACACTAACTTTTTACATGCAGTTTAATAACTTTGCTGAGGCCTTGTCCAATTCCATTGGTTGCTTTGCAGAGGTAAAAGCCTACGTCATTCTCCTGGGAGTTGTGAATGGAAAGTGATCCATTTTCAAAAACTTGAAGGTGTGGACTGCTGACTACTGGTTTGAAGTTCAGTGGAACATCCTTTTCTGTACCGTACAATATAGAATATTTGTTAATTAGAATATTACAAGCTTATGCGTTTCAAACGCTTGAACTTAAACGTAAGCTCTTCAAATGAAATGGGTTTTCTTAAACATCTTATTAATTACAATTTAAATCCAATCATCTATGTTCTAATGCGATATAAATTTTCAAAGAAAAACAAAAGATCTGACAATGCCATAATATAACCGGAGAAGAGTTTTCAGCACATCTGCATCATATTTCAGTCAACTAATAAGTAATTGATTTATTTTTCTTTGGCCACCTATTAATGAAAAATTAGCGCATACAAGTTCAAGCAATATTTTTATATGATGAATCTTACAGGGTATAAAAGCATGTAGTATATTTTTGGATTCAGAAAAACTTTATCCAACTGTTCAAAACGTGTAGTAAATTAACACATACGCCTAAATAAAAATGTTTTTTTTTACTTTTTGGGCAAACGGTTTTTGTTAGGTAGTATATAATGTGATATAGGCGAAGGTCGTTTGCCCGAAACATTGCAAGAAACAGAAAAGAACAACAAACATAATTTAGAC